ATTAGATATGGTTTGATCAATGATGGGGTTCACAAACTTACCGGCATACTTGTGGGGTCATGCACTTCGTACTGCCGCGTATTTGCTGAATAGAGTTAACACCAAAGCAGTTAAATCCACACCTTATGAACTTTGGCATTCACGGAAACCCAACTACAAACATATTAGGATATGGGGTTGTCCCGCTTATGTGAAGCGATTAGTGGGAGATAAGTTGGATAGTAAATCCGACTTGTGCTATTTTGTGGGGTATCCCGAAGACTCGATGGGATACGAGTTCTACTATGTCAAAGAAGCAAAAACGTTTGTTTCGAGAAATGCCACCTTTTTGGAAAGGGAGTTTCTATCCGATAGAAAGGGCAGCATGATAGAACTTGAAGTAGTTCAAGAACCACAAAGTGAAGTTCAAACGCAAGAACAAGTAATCGAACCAATACAACAAACCACTAATATACCTCCTGAACCTACGGTACGTAGATCCGAAAGAGTTCGGAAAATGCCGGATAGGTTATTCCTCCTCGAAAATGATGAAGATCATGTTGATCTTGGACAAGATCCAAGAACATACAATGAGGCCGTATCGGATGCGGACATGGGACATTGGCTAACTGCCATGAAATCCGAAATGGACTCCATGTACTCCAACAAGGTATGGACCTTGGTAGATCCACCCAAAGGAATTGTTCCTATAGGCTGCAAGTGGATCTATAAGAAGAAAATTGGAGTGGATGGAAAGGTGTCGACCTATAAAGCTAGATTGGTAGCAAAAGGATACACTCAAAGGCAAGGTGTTGACTATGAGGAAACCTTTTCGCCAGTCGCGATGCTGAAGTCCATTAGGATTTTGCTGGCCATAGCTGTGTGGTACGACTGCGAGATATGGAAAATGGATGCGAAGACCGCCTTCCTTAATGGAGATATTGAGGAAGAAATTTACATGGCGCAGCCGGAAGGCTTCATATCTTCTGGAAGTGAGCAAAAGGTTTGCAAGCTCCAGCAATCCATTTATGGATTGAAGCAAGCATCCCGTAGTTGGAACATTAGATTCGACTCAACTATCAAAGAGTTTGATTTTGAGAAGAATCCGGAGGAACCTTGTGTGTACAAGAAGGTTAGTGGGAGGGCAGTGATATTTTTAGTGCTTTACGTTGATGACATTCTACTCATTGGGAATGACGTAGGAATGCTGCAACAAACGAAAGCATGGTTGTCCACACGTTTCTCAATGAAGGATTTGGGAGAAGCATCTTACGTATTAGGAATACGCATCTATAGAGATAGAGCGAGAAAGATGCTTGGCTTATCCCAAAGCCTGTACATAGACACCGTTATGAAACGGTTTAGCATGGAAGAATCCAAGAAGGGATTCTTGCCAATGTCCCATGGGGTTCGTATCTCGAAATCTATGTGTCCGCAAACACCTAGTGAAATCGAGGAGATGAAAAGGACGCCTTATGCTTCTGCCATAGGAAGCATAATGTATGGCATGCTATGTACGAGACCCGATATTGCGTATGCTGTGAGTGTCACAAGCAGATATCAGTCTAACCCCGGCCCGGCTCACTGGAAAGCCGTGAAAGATATTCTCAAGTACTTGCGAAGAACTAAGTACATATTTTTGGTCTATGGGGGTGCCGAGTTGAAATTAGAGGGTTTTACTGACTCTAGTTTTCAATCGGATGTGGACGACTCAAAGTCGAATTCTGGATTTATATTCACGCTTAATGGTGGTGCCGTGTGTTGGAAGAGTTCCAAGCAAAGCACAACGGCCGATTCCACTACCGAAGCGGAATACATTGCAGCGTCCGAAACTGCAAAAGATGGGACTTGGATAAGGAAGTTCATCCAAGAGTTGGGTGTCGTTCCTTGTGCTAGTGATCCAGTACCGTTGTACTGTGATAACACCGGAGCCTTGGCGCAAGCTAGGGAGCCGAGATCTCATCAGAAGTCGAAGCATATTCTGAGAAAGTATCATGTGATCCGAGAGATCATTGATAGAGGTGAAGTTAAAGTAGAACGAGTCACCTCGAAAGAGAACGTTGCAGACCCCTTTACGAAACCTTTACCGAGATCGGTCCATGAGAAACATCGAGAGTCGATGGGATTGCGATTCATGGGTAGTTGGCTTTAGGTCAAGTGGGAGATTGTTAGAGTAGGTGACCAACAAGCCAACTTTTGGCTGTGGTCTTTCGTATTTATTATGGTAATAAACGAACCTTTATTCGTATTAATGATAAAACACCTTGGCATTCTATATCTTTGTCCCTTTGTCACAAGCATAGATATAGTCCTTACAGTTATTACAAGTACTAGTAATTGATCGTTAGGATCGTGAGATATTTACTTAAGTATTATAACTGTTAAACGTGTTCCTAGTCGAAGGGTTACGCCACCAATGAGGATATCGGCCTTTCCCATTAGAAGACTAGCACTTAGTGTATGTGTACTGCATCTCATCAGTAAACGGTATTGTGATATCGGCATGCATAAGTGGGTGCTCGTAAGTTGACGAGTTCACTGAACTCCCTCACCCTAGAAATCTCTAAGTGGTTCCCAATAATCGAGTAGAGATATCTATGGTATAGTTGTACACCATTAGTCCTTATGACCTAGACATCACCGTGACTTCACTAGAGGACCAGCTGTATCGTGACCTGTCTCTGAGTTCCACCGAGGACCATCCCAAGGGCCAGTGTTCGTGCAGTCCGAAATCTAGTGGGAGGTCTGTGCATTGTAGTCGGGGATTCGATCGCTAGAATAGTCTTGGATGTCCTGTGTGTTCTGAAAGTTTGTAATCATTCTAAGTCTCTGGCCAGAGCTGACTAAGTGATGATTAGAGAATTCGATTCTCTAAGTCATGCACGTGACGATTACAACACTTGGAACGATCGCACCGTCATCGAACACATAAAGAGGTCTCGATGAACCAATGCCTCTAGTTCGATCGGGACATATGTATCGAAGGGACCGTACTGTACGTTAACTATATCTGAAGGTTCTTGCAGGCACTTCATTTGTATCTAGGGAATCATGACGCGTAGTTGCTAGACGCCAATCTTGATTCGTTGGGTGATTAAGGTGAAACGAGTTTCATCTTAATCATAACTCTAAGGGGACGAGTTTTGACCACAAAGGGTTGTGGGCCCACGGCTAGCTTACACCTGAACCATCGAGGGTCACACTGCTCGTGTACATGAGATCTTTGAATAAACGGTCAGAGATAAAATAGTTTATCTTTGCATGATTGGAAGTCAATATGATTGGATCCAACATTCGTAATTTGGAATTATGAATGAGAATAAGAAAAGGAAAAGAATAGGCGAACGTGTTAGTGAACTTTCTAAATCGGGAAGTTTCCAAATTTAGAAAGTGCACTGAACTAGGGTTTCCACTTTTGGAAAGTTGGAAAATGAGAGTTGACACTCGTAATGACGAGGATATTATAATGATTCCGAAAATGTAATTGTTGCAATTTTCCGATCATTGAATTGAGAGAGACGAGCGAGTAAAAGAACTAACGAGCTTAAGCTGTTGGGCCCGGTCCAACTTAAGCCCGTTAGGGTTTTATGCAAGACATATAAATACTTGATTTATAGGTCTTGCACAAACACAACAAAGAGAACACACGTTCATAACCCTAGCCGCTGCCTCTCTCGATCAGCCACCCTCTCCCACGGCCACCACCACCGCGCCGTCGCCGGAAATTCGCCGGAATCGGCCACCCGTTGGCCGATCTCTTTCGGTATTCCTTTCCTTCTTTCTTTTCTTCCGTTATTCTGACTATTACGTGTCTAGTGCCACGTGTTTAGTAGATCGAAGTATACGAGGTGAAATCCAAGAGGAGGAAGATCGAAGAATCGAAGATGCGAGAAGGCAATTCTGAAAACTGCTCTCGGATTTTCTGCGCTGTCCAGCGGGAAAATTCGCCATAAATCAACCGGTGATCGGATGGACGTGAAATTTTGATAGAAGCTTCACGACTCATAAATCTACATTCGTCCAGAAGGAATTGTCCATCCAGTAAATAAGCATGGAGATATTGAAGCCGGAGCAAGGCTGTAATTTCAGATCAGCAAACAGGTTGGATCAATAAGAGTGGGAAGAGCAGCTGGCCATCTTCTCGAGTCTTCGTTCGATTGATGCTTCAAGGACAGCACGTGCATCACATGCACCGCCGTAGCTCGGATCATTGCCGTTGCTGCCCCGGATTGCACGGATTGGTTTCCGTGGCAATCTAGCTTTGCTTAGTGCGCCTACCTCACGCTACAAGAGGTAATGTTTCGAATCTATTGTCGTTCGATTCGGTTACGTTTAAATTAATATATGCATGTTCGTTTTAATAAGAAACTTGTATGATTTTATGTGACTACATGAAATTGATTTTATTATTGCGACCATGATTATTTGATTTAAACGCGAGCATGCTAATTGATTTAATTTCGATTAAGTAATTAAGCATGTTGTTGTTTTAATTTCGCTGGAAGCGCAAAGGTACGCAATTAATTGATTTAATTTATCGGGCATGTGCTTGTGTGCTTTAAAGTCGTTTAAATCGCATAAAATTTTTGTTTTCCGCTGCGTACACGTGCCCGAAACCCAACACTTCCCACAATCAAGACGCTTGCATTTCCCTTTTTTGTATTTTAACCCACTCATTTGAGTGGTGCTACTAGAAGAAGCCATGAATTAGAAACAAATGAGCCTATGTGTCATTTATGGTCATATTATGACTTGACTAGTTCTGACAATAAGCAACGGCTATATTATAAGCAACGGCTATATTGTAACGGTCATAAATTGAGTAAGTCATACCATCCTATCTCATAGATAATACCATGCGTAAATCAAATCAGTACCTTTATACTGAAAATGATAAACCATCAAGCAGCAACAAGCATACCATCATATCGCATATCTAATACCATGTGTAAATAAAAATAGTACTATTAGACTGAAAATGATAAACCATCAACCAACAATAGGCATACCATCCTATCTCATATCCAATACCATGTGTAAATAAAAATAGTACCATTAGACTGAAAATGATAAACCATCAATGAACAGAGTACCTAATACATAGTACAAACTACAAATAGCAAAAACATAGTGCAAATTGAAACATAGTACAAAGTTCAAAACAACATAGTGCAAATCACATAATAATAAAGTACAAACAGCCAGTTTTCATTCACTTCAATCACTTGAATAACATAATGGGCAATCATGTAAGCTCTCCTCCATCTTGTCCTCCCTGATGAAAAACATAAAATTTACATTAGAAACAAGACTAGTTAGTTTAATTAACACAAATGCAGACAGTATTTACATTAAAAAAAATTGCTAGTCAGATTGGTTGTGTGCAAGTACGACGATTGTGTCCAGGCTTCCCACACCGAGTACACTTCAGTTTACGAGTTTGCACTTGTGAAGGAATTATTTTTGTCTTTCTACGTCCCGGTCGAGTTCTCGAATCAGGTGCATTAACAAAGACATCGGGCTGAGCATTACACGCATCGTACAAGTCAAAGTCCTCATCAAACGAGGGAATTGGGTTAATCGTGAATTGATATACCTGTTTGTACGTATCAATTGTTAGAGTAGGTGACCAACAAGCCAACATGTGGCTGTGGTCTTTCGTATTTATTATTGTAATAAACGAACCTTTATTCGTATTAATGATAAAACACCTTGGCATTCTATATCTTTGTCCCTTTGTCACAAGCATAGATATAGTCCTTACAGTTATTACAAGTACTAGTAATTGATCGTTAGGATCGTGAGATATTTACTTAAGTATTATAACTGTTAAACGTGTTCCTAGTCGAAGGGTTACGCCACTAATGAGGATATCGGCCTTTCCCATGAAGACTAGCACTTAGTGTATGTGTACTGCATCTCATCAGTATACGGTATTGTGATATCGGCATGCATAAGTGGGTGCTCGTAAGTTGACGAGTTCACTGAACTACCTCACCCTAGAAATCTCTAAGTGGTTCCCAATAATCGAGTAGAGATATCTATGGTATAGTTGTACACCATTAGTCCTTATGACCTAGACATCACCGTGACTTCACTAGAGGACCAGCTGTATCGTGACCTGTCCCTGAGTTCCACCGAGGACCATCCCAAGGGCCAGTGTTCGTGCAGTCCGAAATCTAGTGGGAGGTCTGTGCATTGTAGTCGGGGATTCGATCGCTAGAATAGTCTTGGATGTCCTGTGTGTTCTGAAAGTTTGTAATCATTCTAAGTCTCTGGCCAGAGCTGACTAAGTGATGATTAGAGAATTCGATTCTCTAAGTCATGCACGTGACGATTACAACACTTGGAACGATCGCACCGTCATCGAACATATAAAGAGGTCTCGATGAACCAATGCCTCTAGTTCGATCGGGACATATGAATCGAAGGGACCGTACTGTACGTTAACTATATCTGAAGGTTCTTGCAGGCACTTCATTTGTATCTAGGGAATCATGACGCGTAGTTGCTAGACGCCAATCTTGATTCGTTGGGTGATTAAGGTGAAACGAGCTTCATCTTAATCGTAACTCGAAGGGGACGAGTTTTGACCACAAAGGGTTGTGGGCCCACGGCTAGCTTACACCTGAACCATCGAGGGTCACACTGCTCGTGCACATGAGATCTTTGAATAAACGGTCAGAGATAAAATAGTTTATCTTTGCATGATTGGAAGTCAATATGATTGAGTCCAACATTCATAATTTAGAATTATGAATGAGAATAAGAAAAGGAAAAGAATAGGCGAACGTGTTAGTGAACTTTCTAAATCGGGAAGTTTCCAAATTTAGAAAGTGCACTGAACTAGGGTTTCCACTTTTGGAAAGTTGGAAAATGAAAGATGGCACTCGTAATGACGAGGGAATTATAATGATTCCGAAAACGTAATCGTTGCAATTTTTCGGTCATTGAATTGAGAGAAACGAGCAAGTAAAAGTACTAGCGAACTTAAGCTGTTGGGCCCGGTCCAACTTAAGCCCGCTAGGGTTTTATGCAAGGGACTATAAATACATGATTTATAGGCCTTGCACAAACACACAAAAAACCCTAACCCTAAGCGGCCGACCCCCTCTCTCTCTCGGCCTCTCTTTCCGCGGCCACTACCACGCCGCCGTCGCCCCTCCGTCGCCGGAATCGGCCGTCCATCGGCCGTTCTCCTTTCGGTATTGTTTTTCCTTCTCTTTTCTTCCGTTTTATTCTAACTACTTCGTGTCTAGTGCCACGTTGTAGTTGATCGAAGTATACGAGGTGAAATCCGAGAGGAGGAAGACTGTAGATCGAAGAATCGAGGAGCAACGCACGAGCCGAAGCCGCACGCTGCCCCACGCGCCGCCCGGAAGTTCGCGCGTGAAACTCACGCGCCGCCGTGACCTCACGCGCCGCTGCTGCCGCTGCACCGCTGCTGCCCCGATTGTACGGATTGGTTTCCGTAGCAATCTCGACGTGCTATACGCTCCTACCTCACGCTTCAAGAGGTAAACACGCGAAACCCTAGTTTCGATTTGAGTTTTGTTTAAACCTATGTATTCATGTTTGTTTCGTATTATTTTATGTGATTATGTGTAATCGATCAAATCATTGCAAGCATGTTATTTGGTTTAAACGCGAGCATGTTAATTGATTTAAATTCGGTTAAATTTATTAGCATGTGTGTTGTTTTTAATTTCGCTGGAAGCGCAAAGGTACGCAATTAATTGATTTAAATTATCGGGCATGTACTATGTGCGTTTTAAACTCGTTTAATTCGCATAAATTTTTGTTTTCCGCTGCGTATGCGTGCCCGAAACCCAACATCAATATGAAAGCATGGATCCACAAACTCATATACTGAGTATCCTTTTGACTCCAAACATGCACATGCATGTTTGCATGGAAGTTTCTCTAATTGCCATGCTTTACAAGAACAAGTCTTCTGCTGCAAGTCAACCTTATACGACTTGTCCTCATCATATACCTCAAAAGCGGTACTACTTGATCTACAATATTTTAAGGAACGAGAGGCCATATGATTGATTGTTAATCTCTTTAAAATTTTCTTGCACAATACGCTAGTCATTGCCAAACTTTTTCCTTGTCGTTTAACTAGCATCTCCATTATTTTGATCCGTATGTGATCAATCATGGATGGAACAGGCAAAGATCGGGCATCTTTAACCCAACCATTCCAATTTTCTGCCTGATTATTGTTCACGATTCCCCATCTTTCTCCAGAAAAATAGGCATTCGCCCAATGATTTGGATCAGAATTCGAAATAAATGATGCCGCGAGAGGCATAGATTGCACTATACGAGAAATAGTTGCATCGAACTCCTGCCGAGTAGGAGCATATGCAGCATTATGTAAAACACTCGCCCAATATGACTTGTTGTGCAATGGGTACTTCCTCAGGACCTATATTATTTTGAAACATGTTATACAAATGTATGAAACATGCTATACAAATGTATGAAACATGCTATACAAATGTATGAAATGTGTTATACAAAAGTATGACACATGTTACACAAATGTATGAAACATGTTATACAAAAGTATGAAACATGTTATACAAAAGTATGACATGAGGTGACAAATGGTACGTTCCAATTTGCATATTAAAGAGAATCAAAATACCTGAGTTCTAAAGTTATCCACCAAGTGTCGCAAACAATATGCATGGTGGCTACTAGGAAATACCATCGGGACGGCTTTAAGAAGCCCCGAATGACGATCAGAGAAAATGGTAAAAGATCTATTGTCATTGTGAAGATCTAGAATTTGTTTCAATTTAATGCAAAACCACTCCCAGTTTTTATCATTCTCAGCATCAACAACTGTGTATGCCAATGTATACAAGGAATCATTTGGATCCTTGCACACAGCAGAAAGCAAGCATCATTTGTACTTATTTTTAATGTGAGTCCCATCCAAACATATCATCGGCCTACACCGATGAAAGCCGGAGATAGAACTCCCAAAACTAATAAATATTCGAATAAACTTTTGAGTAGCAGGTTCAATCTCATACTCTGCCATGCTACCAGGGTTATGCATTTTTAATGCACGACAATAGCGTCTCAGTTTATCATAACATGTCGTCTCATCACCATGGATATCGCGCATTGCTTTTTCTTTACCCCTCCATGCTGTGTAGTACTGAAGCTCCAGACCATAATCGTCTCGGATATCTTCTAACATACCACATGGTGTGTAAGCTGGCTGCGTTCTCAATTTTCGTTTCATAATTTGGGCAATCCATGTAGCATCGGCTTTAGGATGACCCCTTGTACGAAGAGTAGCATCACCACAAGTGTGCTCAAGATTGCACTTGCGAATGCTAAATAACTTATCTGACTTGTACAATGATGCATAAACCCTCCATTTGCAGTTTTCGTGAATGCATACTGCTATGATCTTTTGTTGATCATTTTTCATGTACTTAAATGATCGATTATTAGCAATAGAATAGTTGTTCAGCATATGCCTAAAATCATCAGGATCTTTAAAAAGCTGATTCTCCCCACGGATGCAATGTCTCCATGCATCAATTGAATTTCCAAGCGGATTACCCTCGATTTCCATCGATTGATCGCCGCTTTTGGTTTCAAAAAAATTTTAAAAATGGATTACAATAGAGTGGAATCCAAATAACAATGTACATGAAAATATCATAACAATGCACTGGTTCCATACTATCTTATCCATTATATAATACTAAGTTTTCCCACAAATAGTACCAAGTTTACCTATCACCCATACTATGCAGATGAAGGTTACGTACTATCTTCCCCATTATATGATACTATGTTTTCCCATTAACAGTACCAAATTTACCTATCACCCATACTATTCAGATGAAGGTAACGTACTATCTTCCTCATTATATGATACTATGTTTTCCCACTAGAAGTACCAAATTTACCTATCACCCATACTACTCAGATCAAGGTTACGTACTGTAAGTATCATACGTCCATACCATATTTATATTAGCATGATACTATTATGTGCCATATTTTATACTATGTATCACACAATAATTAACAACCATAAAGAAATGCATTTCAGCAGTACAGAAAAAGATGGAGACCTACCAGCCATCGGTGCGAACCCTCTTTCCACGCGAATTAGCTTCATCTTTGCAGGTCACGACAATGTCGACCACACTCATCTTCATTATCAGATGCAATGCAACCATATTCTCCACATCTTCATCACTGCCCAATGTCACATACAATCTTTCCCGAGGAGCCAAGTATTGGAGGATCAGTGCATCTGGATGGATATGATTCCATTTGTTGATAATAGCACCATATATCTCCATTAAGGTCGAATTACTTTTTATGGAAATAATGTGAAGTTGATTTTTGTATCGACAACTTCCAAGAATCACACTTGGTACATCGTTAGATACATCATTTGTAGCCATTGTGGGGTGGGTGGGTTTTACAGTGATTTTTTCGCCGGAAAAAAGGGGAAACCAGAGGAGAGAAATGGAGAAGAAATAGAGAAGAAAGAAAGCAGATAGAAATGAAGAGAGAGAAGAAAGAAATAGAAGATGAAGAGAGAGAAAGGCAGGAGAGAGAAAAGGGTGAGAGTGAGAAGAAAATATAATAAAATATATAAAATTCACATTAGGGACTGATCTGCATGTCAGACGCGTGAATAGGGACTTAAATGCTAGGGGAAACTACCTAGGGACTGATCTGTGTTTCAAGTTTTGGATTAGGGATTTATCTGTAGTTTCCCCTTAAATAAATTGTTTTTTAATTTTTAAAATTATTTATCAATTAAGCTCAATTGAATAATTGATCCATTAATCAATATAGTTCAATAAATAAGTGTTGGATTAACTTATTAAGTTTAATGGTTGAATTAATTTAATTAATGGAAAACAAATTATGATTGTGTGGCAAATAATCAAGGGATTATTTGATAAAACACCCCATATTCCTTTTACAATTAGTGTAGATCCAATTTTTTTTTCTTCTTTTTGAGATAAATCCTAAATTTAATTTATTAATTATTTTAATTACGATATTTCCATAATACCCTTAAGTATTTCCTTGTCTAGATCTAATTTTTTATTTAACAAAACATATAATTTAATATTAAATTATAATAAATCAATTACATTTACCATAATTCTACCACACGTTTTTTCTCGATTCTTTTTTCTTTCAACAAGCGCCCGCGCCCCCCCCCCCCCCCCAAA